GACCAAGTGCAAATAAAAAAGCAATCCCTAGATGTGGTGCACGCGTGTGTGTTCACAGTGTAGTTGGTACATAGTACTTATTTTATGGGCATTTAATACTGCTCTCGTATAGTCAAATTCACTAACACGTAAATTAGGATTGGCCTTTAATTAGTACTAGTACTTGTCCAACTTGTCTTTCAAAATGTATCTAAATACTATTGTCTAGTCTTGTCAGGTGAAACTCAACTGTTCAGCTATGCCTCGCACTGGGCAATAGTTCGCAGCTGTGAGAGAAAAGCTTAGGGAGGAGACGCACGATTGAAAAGAAGCACAAGATAGGTGAGAGACAGAGGAAGGTGTGAGTATTGTGAACGTTGAAGCCATTCGTACATAACAGATACAGCTGTGGGTGTATGTCTTCAGTAGTAAGTAATCTGTTCTCAGTTCAATCGTGTGTGAGCCTCACTTGCAGTGGTGACCCACGTATGAAATTCTCGGGTTCCTTTCGCAAAGCCGTGGGGACCGTCAGCCCTGGATTAAGCCAAGGCACACAACGCTGAAGTTAAGGAGGTGGAGATGTCGAATTTGACAGCGCAGACGACGCAGACAGAAAAAACTACGATCGAACTACAGTTAAGACGAGACTCCGCACGAGTCTGCACCGGAGAGTGCGGGTATTGTTGAATGAGAGAGTGTCAACGAGACAAACTAAGTGAGAGAGAAGAGTTAGTGTGTGTGAGCTTTCAGCGGAATTGATCGTCCGTTGTGGAGTGAAGAGTCTAGAGCAGAAGAGGAAAACCTGGTGATAGTATCTTCAGGCACGTGAGAGGCAAGGAGACGACCGCGCCTATTTCCCCATTTACGAGCTGGTGTGATAATGCGTGAAATGAGGAAAAAATGCACTCCAATATGCGAATGGCCCTATGTAATTTTTCATAAAAATAGTTAGCGCTTACTCTCGACACCGCAACGACACGAACCTTCACTAGCATCATGAGAACTCACCTAAATTCCTCTCGCCGCTCATAGTTCGTAATAATATTTCACCGTAGCTGAGCTTTGGTGATCAGTAGCTTCCTTGGAGGTATTCGCACCGGCCAGACTCGAGAGCCTCCTGAAAAGACCGCTTCACGGGTGACTTAGTTTATTATGCTCATACATTAATAATATAGGTAGTACTCAGTTATACTAGGTATAATGGTCACATATACGTAGGTGAGAAGATGCCATATGTTTACGGCGGGTTATAAGACCAATGAGCTAAATATATTATCTTATATCTTTGTAAATTTAAACTCAGAGTACAAAGGGTACTGTTATATATGGCTGCATAATTAGAATATATCATTCACTAGTGCAAGTGTGAGACATAGAGGAAATAAACTACCTCAAGCACTCCACATTTAATCAAGTGTACAACTACCATTTACCCATTATCCTAAAGATCAGAAAGTAATGGGTAATGTATTATATCCCAACACCACTTGGAGGAATAGATCAATCATGTTATACTCACTATAGTAATAATGTGTGAGGAGTGATGGAAAGACGAGGACAAAAAATTCTTCCCAACAAAGTAATTTGGAAATCAAACATTTCTAATAAAAAATCCATATGTATATATATATCTATATTGATATATCTTATTATATAATATATATATATATTATATATATTATATATATAATATATATTATATAGTATTTATGTTTCTCTTCTCTCTCTCTCTCTCTTCTTCTCTCTCCTCTGGCTTGTGTGTTCGTTGTCCCACTCTCTCTACTCTCTCACCCTCTCTTCTCTCTCCCCCCCTCTCCTCTCTTCTCCTCTCTCCTCTTCTCTCTCTCTCTCTCTATATATATATATAATATATATATATATATATATATATATATATATATGTGTGGTGTGTGTGTGTGTGTGTGTGTGTGTGTGGTGTGTGTGTGGTGTGTTGTGTGTGTGTGTGTGTGTGTGTGTGTGTGTGTGTGTGTGTGTGTGTGTGTGTGTGTGTGTGTGTGTGTGTGTGTGTGTGTGTTGTGTGTGTGTGTGTGTGTGTGTGTGTGTGTTCGCAGGTTCTCTGCGCATATTGCGAACACCGCCAGTACTGATCAGAAGCGACCACCGACCACGGACACGATAGGATAATACATGACATGACACATGAGAGGAAGGTTATTTCCGGCAAATATATTTTATTTTTGTTCTGGGGTCAGGGAGGAAATAACCGTACACAATGAATCATAGACAAATTACTTTATTATTATTATTATTATTATTATATTATCTATTATTGTTTTTATTATATATATATATATATATATATATATATATTATATATATATATATAAGTCTATTATTATTTTGTATTTATTATTTATTTATTTATTTTTTTTTTTTTTATTATTATTATTTTTTTTTTTTTTTGCTATTTCTTTCGTGGACGTCACAATATCGGCGGGGAAATTTTGAAAACAAAATCGGGATTTTTCCCTTTTTTTCATTTTCCTGTAAGTAAATGTCGGCGGGTCTGCTATTCAAGAAAAAAATGCCGTGGCGATAGTGCCATCAGCGGCTGAACTGATCTGCAGGCCGGAACTCAGGACCAAATTGGTGCCACACTCTAGGGGGATTGTTTACAACGGCGGTAAGTGTTAACTGAACAACACGGTCAGTTCCTTCCACCGTACCCTGTGCTTGTGGTTGATAACGGGTCATATAACTATTTGTTGCATGCATTAACTATGTATATATATATATATTATATATTTATATATATATATATAATATATATATATATATATATAT